AAAGATTCTCAATCGATATTATTTATGTGTAGAGCGAAGTTTGGCACGAATCAGCTGAAATCTATAAAGATCCCGTCTATGTTTTCTAAGATATACCGATATTTCTGGAGATTTTCAACTACAGGCAAAGCTGCATCCAAGTTGCATCAAGGCGTCTCCATGCAAGTGGTGATTCACACGAAATTTACTTTCTCTCGTCTTGCACGATATGGCTATTGCTATAATTAATATTTAGTTTTTAAATATGGTCTTATAGATCTGACTTAGTTCAATATAAATAAACACAAATATAAAACCTCGCGTAACCTGTTTTATACGCTGTACAGGAATATACGGTTTCGCTTGTTTCGCCCGGACACCAACACTTGTCATTCAGGAGCGATGCTTGCTTACAAATTTTATCCCCTTCACAATCTTTGTTTTATTTTATCGTATAGTCGCAATTTTCAAGTACTCGGGGTATTCTGAAACTGTAAAAGACAGTAAAACTCGGTGGCGTGCGAATCTTGTAGAGACTACATCGGCCTAGGCGTAGAGCTATTAAGTAAACAGGGCCTAAATTAATTTAGTAGTTTCATTTAATTGTGTGTCTTGCTTTTATTTGTCAGTACAGAATATTGTAAATTAAAATATTACTACAATGCAATACGCGTAGTATTTCGTCAGACATCTGCACTAATAAATACTGTACAAGGAAAACTACAACTTAAATAATAGTAGACGTTTCTTATTTTGTCAGGAAACATCACAACTCACTTCGACACGGCTTTTGAGTTTGGTAACCGGCCGAGGCGAAAGTAAATCATGCAGTCGGGAAAACGTCTTACTTTGAAAGATTATTTTGCAAAACATATACTCGTACACACAAGAATCATAAAAATACAAATGTTGAATTGTTATTGTCAACTGTCAACTGTCAAGTTCAGTTATTTTTAGACAATATGGTGTTAGCCAATCAGAATGCAAAATTGGCCGGCCCAGACCAGGGCTTCCTCGTGTCTCGCCTCGTCCTCACACTGAAGCCCTGGGAACGAGGTTGACAGTTTACAGATTAAAGGTGTTTTGGATCTTCTGATGATAACAACTTTTGATTTATTTGTATGGCATTTATTGCGGGAATTAAGCAATAACGCTTGCAAATGGTGTGCTTATTGCTTTCTGATGGCCTCACATCGCCATATATTTCGGTCATTGAGCCTGCGTTGCGTATGCGGATTTAGTCAAAAATCTAAACAAATAGGCTACTTAAATTACTATAAAACGCATGAGACGAATGAAATTGGGTAAATATTGTAAAATAGATTGATAGTTTTGTATTTGCCAAAATGGTAGACATTTCAATGATAATTGTTGACCGTTCTGTTAAAAAAAATTGAGCTCGAAAATTTAAACTTACCTTTCCTTTTCATACCCCAAATATTGCAAGGCAGCCGTAATACAATGGATACAAAACATGTACAAGTCAGAAAATTATCATATTTGCGACTTTCACACATCCATTGCAGAATTTATATAACCGCTTCGTAATTTGCCAAGATGGATGGTAAAACTTGAGTCACATATCTTTTAATCCACGAAATTTGGTTTTCATAGCTACGCGATAAAATGTTTTCTTTGCCCTTCCAAATTCGCTGTATTTTCATTTGTATGCTTGTGAATGGTGCACCGCATAATCTAGCGCTATTCCCGCAAGTTTGTATCAGATTTCAAGCTAGTTTCGACCATAAAACGGCACATATTTGTATCAAAATGATCGCAAAAACGTTCTCTTTCGATTACTGTGAAATATTTGCAATACCTGCAACACCATTCACGTTGTCAGCGGTAATAGACATGGCAATTTCATATGCGGTAGCTAATTCGCGGGAATTCCCGCTAATATTTAGAGACAAAGAGTCAAATTATACTTTGTAATTATGTCAGACGAGTTGAAGCAATATAATTTTGAAAATTATAAAGGAAATGTCACCATTGATTCAAATCATAGTCTTGAATATGTAAAAAGACGGTGCATTAATGCAGATGAGATCGTATTCACTGTCCATATTACCAACCATGTTTTGAAAAGTGGGCAGGATTTCAAAGAGACAGGGATCTGCTTTACCTTCACAGACTTATTGAATCATTTTCTTGGAGAAAACTACGCAATCCTAATAAAGCAAGACTGCAAACGGATCGAAGATCATCTGCGAAGACTTACTTCTTCCGCCAAAACTAATATCAGGTGGAAAATAGGTTCTGCTTCAGTGAAGTTCGGGAAAGCCATCAAACGCATTGCAATACGTTCTGACGAACTTCAAAGTGCCGCTGAAATTGAGCATGAGCTTTTGAAAGTGAAGGATGAGAAACGTGTTTTAGAAGAGACAAATACGAGACATCATGAACGCTGCGATGAACTTTATCAAAGTTTGTTGGAAGCTGAGGAACTTAGGAGGGCAAGCGATGAGAAATTAACAGCGGCTTATTCTGACATTGAAAAGCTAAAGAAAGAGAATGCCCATTTGTAGGAGTACTTTGACAAGATTTCGCAGCAAGAAGGGTTTAAAAACAATGGAAAGAACATTAATGAGGTCAAGGAAAGACAACAAAGACGAAAGATACGAGAATTGAAGACGCATGGTGATAGAGACCTGTGGTTTGCTGGAACTTTTGGTCTCCAGCTCAGTTCAGTGGAATTCAAAGATGACACTGGCAAGTTTCATACAATGAAATACTACACAGAAGAGCGAGGAAAGAAATCTTACAATGAACTTAACTGACTGACGAAGAAAAAGAGAAAGTGCAACAAATTTTATTTCTTACTGACAAGATTTGCATAAGCGAAGCTGCATATCATGAATTGACCATGTAAGCTGATGGAGAACACCTACGACGCGCGCTCTTACCTGGTAAAGCAGTGCAAAACACATCTGAATAGCTCATGCCATAAAAGTTGAATACCAGGGGGGAGGAGTGTGCACAGCTTGATTTCGAGGCCGAGTTAAAAAACAATATACAGAAACCAGTAAGTAGGAATTTTATTTGCACCTAACCTAACCAAAAAAACAAGATGTTTACAAAATGAAGACTATCTCAAAAATTTTGTTTAATAATAGTGCCTGAACGAGACTCGAATCCAGGGTTCAATTTTATCCCTAGCTAGAATATTTCAGTCTTTCTTTTTTAATAGATTGATCTTTATCAGTTGCAGATCACAGATGGTAATCTGAGGATAAAGGCGATGGGGCCCAACTGACTGGGATTACTAGCTTTGTTGTGATGTCATTTTTGCTGCTAGATAGCGATGATGCCATGTGATCAAAAGGTAACTATTTGGTATAAATTTCCCTAATTTAGTTTCCATGTCACCCTCACCCGTGATCCAATTATTAATCGAATAATCACATTGCTTCATTTGTTAATTGGAAGCCACATGCACTATTGCAGTTGTCAAGGGACACGAGAGCTATGAACTTCTGAAGAAATCCTTTCCAGATCTATTTGGTACTGTAAATAGAATTATCAAAGAAGGAAAAACACAGTGTGTGAAAGAGATATTCCTGTTGAGATATTTTTTGGGGGTGACTAGAAGGTATTTACAACTTCAGCGATATTATAATCCAAATACATGTAGAATTTAGGATTCCTACGACGGACACTGAGTATTACTCCAGTCATTTGAAATCTTGACACCCCCGCTTCGGGCATACCCGGACAAAGCGCGGGGGGATCACCTCCTGTTCACCAGTGTGTCATTGAATTTCATTGAATTCACACATATAAAGTGAATGCAATGTGGTGGGGGATGACGGGCAGTTTCAAATAACTGGCGCATATGGCTAAGGCTCTGAAATAGATTTGAAATATAATTATTAGGTAATATTCAAATTTGGCATGAATAATTCTGTTTTCAGTTCACCACTTGAGTAATTTTTGAAATTCTATTTTAAATTACAGTTTCTGTTATTACTTCTCGGAATGAAAGGGGAAACATCAGATCATTCATGTATATGGTGTACAATACACAAGAAGAACAGGTTACTTATATTATATATCTCATTCCATACCGTAATTAATTAACAGATTGATTTTCAAATTAAATTATCATATCTTCTAAGTCCTAGTTAAACCCTACTGGGCTACCCTTCTCAAATGACTGATCTATCCAAAGTTAAAACATGCCAGTGTCCATTTGTAGGCTACTGCACACATTACTCCACCAACCCCTGCTTACCTGTAGCAAATGTTCACACTCCTATATACCGATATATGACTTAAGCTTCCAGAGTTTCACAAGTGTGAGGAGGTCAAACTGCACAAATTTTCATATCGAAAAGTGCAAAACAATTGACGATTATATTTTAGGTTTGACATGTCCAAGCCAGAGAACTATTATGGTCTAAAACCCATGGCAAGAACCCTGACTGAAATCAAGAAATGTGTATTGGAACAGAAATTGTCTTCTGTTCATCAGCCCTTGATAGAGATACAGGTAGAGAATACCATTCTTGATGAGAATGATATTCAATAATATTTTAATGATATTTTTTATTTATCATCTCATGCTTAGAATAACAGGCGAGATTAATATTACATTGCATGATTGGGACAATTTATATGAATTTCAGTTACAGGCTAAAATATTCTCTAAAGAAAGATACCCCCTCCCCCGCCCCAGTACCTAATATTTTAACATGTATATAAGTCATATTTAACTTAATTCTATGTGAAATATTTTTGAGACCGTAATTCAAATTAGTCCTTTTTGTGTTCATACCGGTGATGTAGATGTCTTGACCAAAAATCTGGTTACAGCTGCTATCAACTGGGATAAGGCGGATAATATGAACAAACGCCCATGTGAAAGGACAACTGCACACCTAGATGCTAGGACAGGTGCTATAAAAACTGCGGAGTTTGTTTTCAAGTATGGGAGAAAAAGGATGCAGATGGCAAGAGGAGTGGAACATATGATTTCACAAGCTTAATGGAGAATGATAAAAAACTGGTTTTGAAGCACCTTCACGAAAAATTGCCTGGTGTAATTGCGTCAGACGCAAGTGCCTCTGTAATAAAGATCTGGAAGGTATTGTGTTCAAAAACATCTTTTACATGATACAAGGATAGAGTCGTGCATTTAACGGGTTAAATAAATGATATTGCATATCAGTCAATGCATACATTATCTGTATATATTTATCTGCATCGTTTATGTGCATTATTAGGATTTTGGCAATCTATACACAATGATTGAGACAAGAGGTGCAAGCGATGAATTTATCACAGACTACTTTGAACAGGTATATTATTGTATGTTGTATATAACGAAGTTAGAAATTAAATCTAAAAACATATTTCTGTACAGTTTACCAATAGGTAATTTTTAAACTTTTTAATATTTTAATTAAAGGCTAAGAAGTGGATACCACTTTTCAACACAATTCAAGGTGCTGGAGGGATTTGTGATGGATATGCGAAGGCAAATGTTACCCCTTCCATGCATTGTATGGTGTACCATGTACCAAGCTTTATGCGAATGCATGGTGGAATGAAAAAATTTACAGGGCAAGGTGAGCTTATTAAATTATATAAGTTTGTCTTTGCCTGCTAGTATAGATGACTGCCAACTCCAATGCCCATAATCTTGTTCAGGGATGATGATATGGGCAGTTCATGTTTAAAATAACACAATCCTGACCCACAATTACAAATATTTTCATTTCCCTTGTAGTATAGTGGCTATATGTAACATAATTATGTACATGCAGGTATTGAGAAAAACAACGACAACTGCCGAAGGATCCATTTGGGTAAATCAAACAAATGCGATGCTGCAGGAAATGTTCTACGAGTGATGAAGAGAATGACAACACTTAGTGCACCAAGGGAATACAACAAGAGGAAATCTGTTTACTGGGATAGTGAGCTTAATGAAAAGCGGAAGAAGCAAAAATGTCAATTGCAACAGAGTTGTAAGGATGCTTCAAGCAGCCAAGTTTATGTTGCAAACACAATGTCAGCAGATGAACTACGAGAGGGGCTGAAAAGATTTGGCATTCAAACTCGAGTCAGGAAGTTTACCCATCTACACGAAATGTACAGACAAGCGCTAAAAAATCAGTAAATTTAAAAAACTTTATGAAATGTTTAAACTTCTTAGAAATATATTCTCATTGTGTTATATTAAATTTGTAAATATATTCTTAAATGTTAGTATTCTATTGTTCGCCTAGAAGTCGTTTCTCCAATGTACTCTCAATTGACCAGCGTCTCGGGTTCAGTAAGGTTGCTTTTAAGGTTTGCTTTAGGATTAGGTTAGTTGTAGGGCTAGCTTTGGAGTTACAGTAGGGTTAGTTTTAAGGGGTAGATTTGACATGCAAACTGACAGTTGTCGAAACAACCACAATTCAATGTTACTGTTCTATAGTAATAGTTCTTATTATACATTGTACATTGTAGTTGGTAAAAGCAATCTGATTGGCTAAGAACTTACATGCAACCTACCAAAAATTCAGTTATCTGCTAGCAGATAACTGAGCTATTTGCAAATGAGCCTGCGATGATTAGCAAGCGGTATCTATTTAACACAAACAAATGTATAATAAAACAATTATATATTGAATTCAGTTTTTGCGATATTCAAAATTATCAAGGTCTCGGTAAGCGTTATCAGCCTAGCCTTCGGTTCGGCTGATAACACTTACCTCAACATTGATAATTAACAATTATTCGCCGAAGGCGAAGTGATTACCGGTGAATATTCACCGAGACGAAGTCGAGGTGAATATTCACCGTAATCACTGAGCCTGAGGCGAATAATTGTTTTAGTATAAATTTTTAATGAATAAAACAAAATATCCAAGTTATCCAACTATAAGTTTAATTAAAATTCAGAAATAAAACTGTTTTCGACCGGTTTACGGTTTTAATAGTGTTGCAGTGTTTCTTGTACACGCGCGCTTTCAAAATGGCTTCCTGTGCGACTTTATTGCTTTATTACAAAGTTATTTTTCTCGATTTCTGCTTAGAATATAAACACAATGATGGAATGACTTTTTTACCAGACTTAGAATTAAAAAATAGTTTCTGTTTAGCATTAATTTGTTCAGGAAATGGCTGAGAAATTTGGTAAAATGAAATGTAAAACTATATCGTTCGAATTAATATAAAAAGTTTTAATACACTTTTCACTTTACAAGTTTTAAAAACACAAATAGTACAATACAGCGAAAGGACACCATACAGCACAATGAAAACACGACATAGTCAAAAGAAATAGTATCGTACAAATTGAGATATTTATAGGATACAAAACAAAAGAATATCACGGCTTTTCCCAAAAGTCGGGATATTTTTTGCTATTTCAGATTTACGTTTGAAGCGAATGTTTCGGAGTTTTAAATAAGTTTTAAATTGTCCGTGAATATGTTTGACACAGTAATATAATACTAAATCCTACCTTTCAAGTTAAATACAACATTTTGTGCTTTTTTTTCTTTTTCTGGGACGATTTTTTCAATATTTTGTCGATTTTGAAACCAAATTTGCCGAATCATTCTTTTTGAAAAGCATTATTTACTACCCAGGTGGTAAATAATGCCTCAGATTTACTAGTCAACTAGCCAATCAGAACGCGCAAAAGCTCATTTGATATGCAAAATTTATACTAATTCCGCATATCACAAAAACCTCATCCAATAATTGTTAAATATCTGATATCAATAAAATTACACTCTGATGTTTTCACTTTTACAAGGGCGTTTCAATATGTCCACACTCAGTTTTTCTATCGGTAATCGAGGTGCACTCACAAGTAGATTATTTTTTAAAATCTTGTGTGGTGATGTCCAGCTACTGGCTTTATCTTCATGACAGGTTGTACTGCATAGCCTTCTCCATTAGAGTTATTTAAATAGTACCACCAATGCTCCGGAAGCGGGAAGCGGCACAAGTCTGAGATAAAATATAGCCGATAGTGTGTATGGTTAGAGGCGGTACTTTTTCCATTGGTGACATACCGCCAGATGTCATGTTGCATTGGGATACAAACCGGACTATTCGACTTTGACTTCAAGCTTGTGAGCACTCCTTGATAACGCCGCCGGCTTGCCTCATGCAGTTTCTGCGAATCCGGTTTTGGTGGTCTTTCATAACCTCTGTAAAGAAAATTTCAGTTTTACTTTTCAATTACCATTTTCAATGTTATACAATATGCATCATAAATTCTAGTGAATTATTAATACAACTTCTATCAATGGCATATTTAATAATCTACTAATATATTTATATTTTGTATGCTATCTGCTATTGCACTTTACCACTGCAGTTAATAGCAATACTGAGTTAGCATTTCTATTTGTACAGCAATATGAACAATATCAAATACTAAGATTAGCGAAATACATAAATACTATTAAATAGTCCATAATAACCTCAAGTGAAGGCTCCCAACTACAACACTCCTGCGGCCAGCCATCCCACTTGATGAGATATTCGTGGTCCTGGACAAAAATAAATAGAAAATTAATTGATAAATATGTAGTAAAAGCTGAAAATATATAGGGAAACATTTTACCTATTTATTTCGTACTTACATTTTTTACTTTTCTCTTTCCTATTACACCAAGTGTATCCCATTAATAGAGAAACCCGCTGACCTGAATGTTTTACACGTGGCCGAAATAGTTGGCGATGACTTAGCAGCATGACGCCCAGAATGACATATTTATAACAAAAGTCTGTGATTTATACTGTTCTATAGATTTTTACACGCGCTCTTCTTTAAATCACTATCTATATAGTTGTTCAAATAAATTTCTGTAACAAAAATCATTCAAACGTAATGTGTCAATAAAATTTAATATTTATTGCAGAGCAACAAAATGTATTAAGTGTTTACTATGTGCTTATATATCAGATGAATTTGTGCGTTCTGTGATGGTGGCTAACGGTTTTTTCGGCAATATTTCACATTCTTCTATGATGAATGTATTACTATATGCGTACATCTCTTAAATATATCGTTCAAACATGACTTGGTTCAGTGGCGTAGCCAGCCCGACAATTTAGTCCCGCTATGCAAATTCAAAATTATTATCATTATTAATTTCTTTAGAAATTGATTGTTTTCACAGTCAATGAACATGAAAATATTTGCATAGCGGGACCAAATAGTCGGGCTGGCTACGCTACTGACTTGGTTGGCATGATAATCTGCTCGCACTTACAAAACTCCCCAACCTTTAAAACAACTCTCCCTAAAGCATAAACATCGCTTGCTGATGACTGTTTTGACTTGCCTTCTATTATTTCAGGTACAATATGCGCATGCTCTTCCCGATATTCAGGCTTTACCTCTTCGGATAATTCCTTTCGTTTAGCATTTGCAAATGAACAAGCCTTACCAAAGTCTGTATCAGCATTTGCCATGGAACTGCACATCACCTTTGGTAACCATGATGTTGTCTGATTTTATATCCGTGATTTAGGAAATTGTACAATGACGTATTTTTTTGGTCAATTCCAGAAAACAAAGAAACCATAAGCCACGGCCTCGTCGTAACGTCCATGCCTTTTGTCTGTTTGCCGTCGTAACGTCAATGCCACTGCAAGTTGTGCACCAGCAAAG